GTCCCGAGAGCCCACCGGCACGTGAACCGCGCCGGGCTCCGCTGTCGCCGACAACCAAAGCAGTAAGTCTGTCGTGTTTCCGTCGCAGGTGTCGCTGATGGGATCTGGTGCGGTGCACAGCCCGGGCAGGGCCCGAGGCGCGCCACAGGCTTGGGTTAACGACCCCTTCCCCGCGGAGCCTCTTACGATGGCGCTGTCTGGCAAAGTGGATGTCACATTTCTAAAATATCAAAATTTTCTTCAACCTTTCGCAGTGAGTCAGGTAAGACTGAGGCTCTGGAGAGTTTCAGTTGCCGAAATTAGCTCAATGCGGAGAGTGGACGAGTGCAAACGGCCGTTGTGGGCCTCCTGCCGAGGAGCTCCCCGGGGCTGGAGGAATCCCGCTGGATTTCCAAAGAGGTTTTCGGAAGTGACTGGAGGCAAATAACGCTGCGACATATGTTCGTTTACACAAGTCCTAACGGCTGTTCTGTCAGCGTTCACAAACCAGTCGGTGACGCTACGGAAGAGTTCAGTGCTTTTTGGGTGGGATTTACACGACCCATCTCTGGCTTTGCAGCTCCTAAGGGAATCTCGCATTTTACACCCTGAAGATGTAGCGCCTGGTGCTTATTCTTCTGCAATCCAAAGCCATCTGGTAGCTTCTGCTTTAGAGTAGCTGTACCAGTTAGTACTCTCTGAGCTTCAAAGCTCTTCATTCCATCAGTACTATATGAAAAATTACAGCAATGTGATTTTCAGCACTACTCAACGCTACCGGAAATTATAAAGAATCACAAAGCAAGTTACCTTTCGCATTCACTCAACAATGACAAAAAAATACCCTGTCAAAAAGTTACCTTGGAAGAGTCTCTTCTCTTTGTGGTTCAGGTGTGGTTACGATCCATTCCTCCACATTTTTCCCTTTCTGCTACAGGTGGGAAGAAATGCTGAACAAATGCTCACTGTAGCAATTGGAACAGGAATTCCAATCTTCCAACTGTTTCACAGGACGCCCAAAGGATATTGAGAGTCGACCCCCGAGATCCCCTGGTTATACACTACCAATGGTTTCAGATTAACTCACACTGAGGAGGAAAATTGCCACTCGTAGGAAAAGCCTCAGCAGTGGCCAATTACTCTTGTTGCCTATTAACAGATTTTACAGTAGTTGTTGGTGTTTTGGTTTGGGTTTTTTTTTTTCAGGTGGTCCCATAACAGCACTTGAACCTTATGAACACTTGAGAATTATCTAAAAAAAAAAAAACAAAAACCCAAAGGGAATTAAATTTGTGTTGAAAAGAACTTATTTGTACTTTGATGGAAACAGCAGTTAGGATAACTGGCATCTTACTTTTCCATTTACAAATTTACACTTCATAATCTAGCTCAGATTGAGATGTGGACTGACCCTCTGTGCCTACAGATTTCCAACAGACTGTCATTTTAAAGTCAGACTAAATTCGCCTTTGATGAAGGATGAAACATTCAGGTACGTAGGGAACTCGTGTGGAATTAAGTTCATGGGCTGTCCCGTATTGCCGTGGTTTCTCCTGGCCATCCCCATTATTATTTGGGCACTCGGAGCCGTTGTACGCACTCAACCATTGTGCTATTGTTTGCAGAAAATCCTAACGGATCACATTCTGCAAGTCATATGGCTTCAAAGCATCTCAAATTGGGCACCCATCACAACTACGAGGCATGTGAGTGCATTTTATTACAATTTTGGACATCCCATGTGACCTGCAGGGTTCTTAAAAAGTGGGTTTTTTCTAGCAGAAATTTCAGGACGTATTTGTTATCAGTGAACTTAAATACATAAATCTATTTCCTGCAGAAATATTAATTTACTGTTCAAAAGAAGGGTACTGTGAATCATAGTTTACATAAAGAATGTGAAAGAATATGTGAATATATTAAAAGGATAATCCTCTAAACAGATCCAGTGATTACAGAAAATGCAGAAAATTCAGTAGTTTAGCCCAGACCCAAATCTGCCCTGTTCACATGTTTACAAAACAAACAGGTGTAAATCAACAAAGCCCAAACAGGGCAGCTGTACCAGATAAACTACAACAAGCAAATCACTGGTTCGGTTGGATGGAGAAATAATAGAAAAATTTAAATCAGGTAAGGGACTAAGTAAAAGGGCTTTTAGGAAATTTCAAGCAGAATTCAGGCATCGGTCTTGGAACTAATCTTTTCAGTAAAAACATTTCTGTTAACTTTGCAGATGGAATCAGTCAGTGACAAAATTTGTTTTACAGGAGGAAAGGATGCACATACACGAGAGGAGATGGGAGGATCGGGAGGACCACTCTAATTAGAAGTATTGAGAAATTCAACAGTACAAAGTGTCAAATGATGAGTCTCTACTGATGGGACTAATAATGAGAGTGTCTGTTGGGAGCTTGTATAAAGTAGAAGTGACTGAAGAGAGGTCCCAAATTTATCACAGAATGGCTGTGAATCAGAAATACAATACAGTCATGAAGGAGACAAGTGTGATCCTTTAAATTTAATGGATCACATTATTTTCACAGGAGGGAAGGAACTATCTACATTGAAATGCGCAGTGCCTTAGCGGTTATCTGGGATATCTGATTCTTTCTGGTCACCCCAGTTCAAGGAAAATTAATTCAAACTGGAATAAATGCAAGCGGGAAGAGCAGAACCAGAGGACTTAGCTTTTGAGAGGAGACTAATGTTTCATTGTCTAGCAAATGAAGACTAAAGGGTTTAAGTCTCTATAAGCTTAACTAGAAAAATAAACCCAGCTGGAACACTTCAGCTATTTATGCTGAAGAACAATACTGACAAGACAGATGTATAGCATTATAAATACACTGGCATGGACATTATAGTAAGCTTCACTACCAAACAGTTCTAAAACTGCCTTCCAATAGTAGAAGTCGGGGCCAAATCCCAAATATTCTTAAAATGGACCGTTGCTAGTAGTCTAGACAATTACAGCTAATAAATCCTAACAGGGGATTAACTTAATGACTCGGCCCAATGTTGCTGTAGTTGGCCTAAAACCACAGTAACATTCTCTAAATTTCTCAAACAATATTCAGCAACAGTTCCATGCTTAAACAGCACGTCAACCCCGATGCTCCTGTTTGTCCAAAACAACTGAGGACACCGACTTTCAACAAAAACATTGCACGTGCCCGTTTCAGGAATGCAGTATTTTCCCCTCAGGGATGAGCCGAAGGCTTTAATTTTAAGTCCTGCTTTCACAGCTGCAAAGCTGGCCTGTTAACACACGCACAAAAGGCTGCATAGTCCTATGTTCACAATCCTCTACATAAGCCAATGATTTATTTCACGAACACACACTATCCACGCTCAGGTTAGACTCCCTTTGAGGTGCAGCTCCAATAGCAGAGGAGAAAACCCTCTGCTTTTCGGAGAGGAACGCTGCGGCAAGAGATTCCTACAAAAAGTCCTTACAACAGAGGGTCTGTAAGCCAACCAAACATATTCTCTGAAAGACTAAATGTGATGATCATTCCGCAGTTTTCTCTTTCGGAAAGCCTTCCTAAGCTTTCCAAGTCTTGTTCTTTAAACCAGTCAAACCGTACCCAGACTCCCAATGCAAGGACCTGATCTGGCCGGATCAGAAGTGTGTCTCATTTAAAGAAAACCCACACATAAAGAAAACCCTCATTTAAAGAAAACCCACTCTTGCCCTTTCATTCGCAGCTGATCAGCACGCTGCTACACGGAGAGACGCAAAAGACTTCCCCCCCCAAATACATTGCACTATTCAAAGGTTTTCATCTTTAAATTTAATTAAAGAAAAATGTCTCAAAGTGATTAAGCATATCTGACTTCCAGCTTCTTTTAATGGCACAAGCCAGTGCAGTAAATTGTAGAAAGCGAGCTCAGTTAGAATTTTATTTTAATAAAAAAATCAAAAAAAAACCCAAACAAAAAAAAAGGAGAAAACTCTCAAGGTGTGAGGTCCTATTAAAAAAGTGGCTGTTCACTTGTAAACAGAATAAAAATGTTAAGAACACAAAGTTTCATACAGCTTAAACAAAACCACTTTTCTTAAGCAGTACAAGTAATGTAACAACACCGTGAGAACACCAAAAGCAGAAAACAAAAAAAATGGCAGAAGAATCACAAAACATTACTTACTAAAACGATAAATTATTTACATTGAATATTAATAACTTGACATTTTTATTGCTCCAATGGTAGTGTGTTGACAAGTAAATGTAGTGAACTATCATAGTGGGACAATAATAAACATATATTTATGGTTTTGCATATGGAGTTTTGTACCTACCAAGGAAAGCCGAGGAACTTTTTTTTTTTTTAATTTATCAAGAGCATACCAGATTGAGCAAAAATGTTTTCTGTTTTGAAGTCACCCATCTACAACTGAATCCACACTTCCTAGACTTGCCTCTGCAGGTCTCGGAACACTTGTTTTTTTCTCCTCCTCCGGTAAAACAACTTCACAGATGCAGGTGGGGAATGAGGAGGGAAGAGCTTTGCTGCTCTGCCAGTATTCTTCAATGTTTCTCAGATACAAAACTTACTGGATACAAACCCAAATATTTCCTAGATAAAAACTATAAAGGAAAGCTAGTGTCAACATCTTTACATGAAAAATTAAACATTGATTTGGTAGACAGTAACTGCTTTTAAAAATCTGCTGCAAACTCACACTGCTGGTAGTTACTAGTTCCCTTTTCTCCTTACTCTCTGCACAAGGTTTTCTCTTTTGATGAACCAGTCAAGGCACTTTCTTTACCACTTCCACTACACTTTGCTAACATTAATCTCTGTTATATTGCTACAAATTCCTTCTCCAATTAACAAGTATCCTCCATAAATAGGTTTACCAATTCATGCTGACTTCTTATGGTCAAAAATGAGATTTTCGGTCTTGTGAGATATAATTACCTGCTGAATTTTTTTATATTAAAGCAAAGGATAGCCCAGGCAGAAAAGAACCTGTAGGCAGAACAGAAGTGCACAGAGTTCACAGCAGTACTTACAGCTGCCTTCACCTTTAAATGAGCTATGGAACCTGTGTCTTTCAGATGCAAATATAATACTGTGTGCTGGTTTTGCATTTTAATGCAAATTTATCTACTTATTTAAACATGGAGCTTACTGAAATGGCAGGTTTGGCTCTCATACTCTTTACCAGTTGCTTTATGGCCGCATATTTAAATGCCTATTAAACTAGAAAAAGAAGAGACCCTTTCATGGTTTGAAGACTACACAATCAACAATTAAGGAGAAAGGAAAATGTACAGAATTTATATACTTAAAATGTAAACATTAATACTCTGTGCTTAAGTGCCTTGTGGTGCCCAGGAGAGACCCAGGGGCAGACAATCTGCTGTGGGCAGAGCAGCCTGTGCCACAGGAGGTGGGCAAAGGGATGAGGGTGGGAAAGCAAAGCCGGGATCTTGTTCTGCCTTGGATCACTGGTCCTGTCGCAGCACAGGGCGGGCAGGGAGCAGCCCAGAGGGACTGGGGGCTCCCAGAGCTCGGGGTACTCCCTCAGTTTGGCACAGCACTTCACGGAAACACGACAAATCAGGCTGAGAAATTCTGAACTGAATACGATGAAGTCAGCACAGACTGAAGAGGATTTCTGTTAGCAGCGAGACTGGAGACTGCTCAGCATTCACCGCTGGCAATTACTAGAACTCTCCCTCGGCTTGCCTCTTCTCTCAGTTGGAAAAGAACATTTTGAAAATACAGTGACGTGAAGAAGAAGATAAGAACACGCTGAGATTTCTTGAGTTTCTTACACAAAAAAAGAAAATTACTAACAGAGTTCTGGCATAACAGTAGGAAACTTCCATTGTTCTGTTAATTAAGCTAAGCTCCCTTCATTTACTCCAGAATCTTATTTGTAAGGGAAATACATAGAATTGGGTGTGCTATTGCAGTTTTGGTTTACACTGCATTTTTCTGCCATTAAGTACTTTCTCTGCTTCCACTTAACACTCATCCTAAAAAAAATAAATTGGAGAGAACACTTTGCTTGGTTCTGTGATAGAAATCTGAGTTGCAAGGTGTAGCTCACGTTAAATTCAACCACCACAGTAATTTTTTATTCATTATGTTACAAATGCAATTACACACTTAGTTGTCACCAATCTACCAGTCAAGTGAAACCTCTGCACTAAGTACATGGATTTCAGAATATGATGCATCAGTCTGCGATTGGAAACTACTGCAAGCGCTGGAGTCTGACACTTCTCAGCGGTACAGTAAGAATAGCACAAAATTTGATTCGAAGTAACAACTTGCATAAAACTGGCCTTCTGTAAACACCGTGTACAAGAAATCTGACCTACTACAGTGATTAGAATGCAATGATCTTACAAATACTATATTTTAATGCAATATTGCATACTGAAGAGATACAAATACATTCAGAGGAAATCCCGAGTCACCCTAAAACTAAAAAGCAACTTGGGAAGATGTCGCAAGGAGGCAAGTTGCTGCAAAGAAATGCCTGGACACTTCTGATGATATTCATCACAACTTGCAGATACTCAGTCCCCTGCTGGGTTTTCTCCGATTTCTTATTTCTAGTGACGAAAGGGAGGGAACCTGCATCAATTTTCATTTGCTTACTATTATCAAGTGGTCTTGCTTAGGCCAACCATTACAGGAAGTTTTTCTACAATTACTTCCCTTCTTGAGATCAGGCAAACAGGGAAGAATCCAAAAATACCCACGAATTCCACAAGGCATGTGTGGCTCTTCAGACTGTGCCTGAACGCCAAAACATATGCATGAATCCTTTCAACTGATCCTCTTCCTCCCATCAGCGTATTTTGAAACACTGCTCTGATTTAGGTAAAATTTATTCCCTCTGGAAAGGATGCCGTGTCACTTAACTGAGAAGGTGTTGAAGTACCATCACACTACAAAAATAACAGAAGTGTTACTTCAGCTTTGATTTGGCTGTTCCAAATTTTTTTTCCTTAGAAAGTCTCCAATTAAGAAACATTTTTTTCATTACTTAAAAACAAAACAAAACTTGACATCCCTATATTCCTAACTTAGAAAGAGGCTTTAGGATATTTTGCTAATAGCAGCCGCCATCTATTCCACAATGTAACTTTTTCAAAGGTGAACAGTATTTAAGCTTCCTACTTCAGGTGCTACAAACAACACCTGAAATACTTCAAACAAACAAACAAAAAACACAAAAAAAACCCAAACCAGAAATGCTATGTATTTTTCATCCATTTACTAAACAAAGTGCAACTGAGCCCTACACATCTGATAGTATGTACAAACTCATTATGGCTTTACCATAAAACCAGCATGTGAATGGGTCTATACAATCCGAGGGATACTAGCAAATGTAATGAATAAAACGATGTCGGACTGTTGGCAATAGAATAAGAGCTATATTACATTCTGTAAACCTTGGCATACCACGCTTTACATTATGCAAAGAGTCAATATTTACAAATAGGAGGTAAAATAATTAACCCCCTAACGTAAATGATGATTTTGCAAAGTGCAGGACAAAACCAGTGCTGTTGATTGCAAGTCCTATGCAAGCAAGTTATACTAAAATCATTACTACTAGACGCTTACCTGGACATTTCTACTGAGGGTTTATAGGATTGCGACATTTAGAATGAAATATAGTATGACACAGCATTAGGATGCAGGTATGAGGACAGCAAAGACAGAAATTAATAAGGCAGCATGCTCAGAACAAGTTTAAGCAGCACTGATGTTAGATCCCTAGTGGCAACTATATCAGTTATTGTCAACGTTAAAAATTCAGAGTGCAACATAGAAGCCTCATTTAACATAAAAAAAAAAAAAATGTGCAAATTGTTCTCTTCTTAACAAAAGAAAGTAACATAGCAAGGAAGATACTCTACTGAAGAACATTTTTAAGTCACAGCAAAGTAGACCATCTTCTTTCCAAAATCATCTACAAGGCACTAAGGGTAGAAAATGACAGGTAACATGAAAGACCAAATGCTGTTCCTCAGTCAGGTCGAAAAATGGGATATTTTGGTAAGAACTCTATTAATATCACCTGTTGAAGAAGGGAAAAAGACAAGACAGTAACCAAAGAAGTTCAAACCTTCAGCACAATTTCCATGCAACATTAGCTAGTACGTAAGACTAAACATATCTGAGATACTCTGTAAGGCGGGAACGTTTCCCAGAGTAATAAAGCAGAGATTTCAGTAATTTCTAAATACAGGGCTTCTGGATGCTTGACTTTTTTGGGGTGACTATCTCTTTTCTCCAAGCTTACACAGTCTCCACAGCTATACATGAAAGGGGATGGGGGAGCGGCAGGACCGCAGAAATAGTTTGAATTCTGCTTTCCTAAACGGACTGTCTGTCTTGGTTAAAACTTTATGAAATTCAGAGCTAGCAAAAAAGGAAAAAAAGAAAAAATATCCAGACAAAAACCACACTACTATAGAAATGCAGTATTTCTGCACAAAGAATTTGAATCAAAGTAATTACAGCTACCTATGGAAAAGGTGGGTAAGCGTTAAAGAACTATGGGCTGGTGTGGGAATCACACCAATGCACGAAGTCCCAGTGGGTCTCCCTCATTACAAATCACAGACCAAAACCGGTGTACCTGCAGTGCGAGCGCAGAGTTGTTACAAAGAGAAAATACGTTTAGTGGTGACAATTTCTAAGTCCCAATATATGCCACGGCTGCACTTGTTGACAGTGGCCTGCACGGGTGCGTGTCAAACACAACCACACGTTTTTGCGAGAGATTTTTTTGGATAGGTGACAGTCTAGTGAGTTAAGGATTTTCTCTGTAAAATCACAGTTATGTTGAACACCAAATAAGTTACAGAAGTAATACTTACATATTCCATCATATTGCTAGTTTCGCATTTCCTTTTACTCAGCTTCCAGTGCAAACCAAGCTAAGAAAATAATTATCAAAGGATTAATGCATACCACAGCACTATTTTGATGAGTAACATAACAAGCATTCTCAGTATCAAATTATTAGGATCCAGAACACTTCAGACACAGGGTTAAGATCAGTATAAAGTATGGAATTATAACAAGGCTGTAAAATTCTTACATGCCATTTATGAAAAAAAAAAAAACCCTTTCAGCTTTCAAAGCTGAAAAAAACAAGCACTACAACTTTTCTTACCTTATGATATAGTCTGTTATTTTCCCATTCTAATAACTTCTGAATTGATCTTCTAGTCTAAAAAGGAAGTCAAAACTGTATTATAAATGGTTCAGTAGACAGTCTTGTCGAGAAAAATCTTACTATTGCATTTCTGGCTTAAGATTGATTTAAAATAAATTAGTTTTATAAAAAGTAGAACCAAGCAAGAGAAATTATAAATGGAGTCCTACCACTCCAAATCCCTGTTCCTCAACATCAGATCTTCAGACAACAAACACCTACAGGTTTTTTGTTAACTTAGGACTGCAACTTTCCCAGAATTCATTTACTTGGTAAGAGGTCCTTTTGACTATAGTATTTTTGCCTCCCATAGCCAAGCCAACGGAACACAATCTCCCACATTCTCTCGGCCAAATACTGCACTTGCTACAGGGAGTCTACTGACAAAGCACAATATACACACGTGTAATTTCCAGATTTTGCTATTGTAATTGTTATCTGGATCCTGAAAAAATCTCACCACCGCAGAACTCCAGCTCCCAACAAACAGTGCCTGTATTTTCAACTCCTGAATACCAAAGGCCATATGACCTTCCCGTTCTGCTCTTTCCACAGTTGTGGGAGAACAGAAGAGTTTTGGAGTTTCCATTATTTTTAAGGTCACAAAAAGACCACTATGATGATCTACTCTAGTTCCTGCATGGTGTGCCACGGAATTCTATCCACCAGTTTCTTTGATAAAGCTAATAATGGTAGGTGAGCTACACCATCTCATCATCACCATAATCTGGTGGATGAAAAGCTGGACATGAGCCGGCAATGTGCACTTGCGGCCCAGAAAGCCACCTGCATCCTGTGCTCATCCCCAGCAGCGTGGCCAGCAGGGCGAGGGAGGGGATTCTGCCCCTCTGCTCTGCTTTGGTGAGACCCCCCTGCAGTGCTGCCTCCAGCTCGGGGGGTCCCAACAGCAGAAGGAGATGGAGCTGTTGGAGCGGGGCCAGAGGCGGCCCCGGAGATGCTGGGAGGGCTGGAGCCCCTCTGCTGGGAGGACAGGCTGGGAGAGTTGGGGGGGTTCAGACTGGAGAAGAGAAGGCTCTGGGGAGATACTGTTGTGGCCTTCCAGTACTTAAGGGGATGACAGGAAAGACGGGGACAAACTTTTAGCACGGTCTGTTGTGACAGGACATGGGGTGATGGTTTTAAACTAAAAGAGGGAAGATTTAGACTAGATATAAAGAGGAAATTTTTTATGTTGAGGGTGGTGAGGCACAGGCCCAGGTTGCCCAGAGAGGTGGTCAATGCCCATTCCAGGTCAGGTTGGACAGGGCTCTGATCTGGTTGAAGTTGTCCCTGCTCTTTACAGGGGGGTTGGACTAGCTGACCTTTAAAGGTCCCTTCCACCCAAAGTATTCTAGGATTCTATGAAAAAAAAAAAAAAAAAATATATGCAAAGCTATCCAACCCTGGGTCAGAGACTTAATGGTGGAGAATCCACCCCTTCTTCCTAAGGTTTTCCAGTGACAAAGCTGTCCTCGGAATTAAAAGGTATATGTTGTTTCCTGTTTCAGCTGTCTTAGTTTCATATTGCAGCCTTTGGACCTCATAATGCCTTTTGTTGCTGGATGAGTGTACGGGCACCGGCTGGGCCGGGGTTAATTTTCTTCACAACAGCTTGTATGGTGCTGTGGTTTAGATCTATGACTAAAAAAGTGTTGACAACACGTTAACATTTTAGCTATTGCCAAACAGCATTGACTGAAGGGATATTCCATGCCATGTAATGTCATGCCCAGCGCTAAAACTGGAGCTATTCTTTCCGAAGTAGCCCACTGCCCAGAGATGGGCTGCGCATCGGTCTGCTGGTGGCCAGTGATTTGCCTTTGTATCACTTGGGTTTCCTTCCCTTTTTCTCCTTCACTTATTAAACTGCCTTTATCTGAACACGAGGGTCGTTTTTTTCCTTTTTCTCTTTTGATTCTCTCCCCATCCTGCTTGGGGTGGGGTAGAGGGCGTGAGTAAGCAAGTGCTTGGTGGGTGCTTAGTTGCTGGCCGGGTTCAACCCACCACAAGAGAAAATTAAGAACCATCTTATACTTGTGATCATTAGAGTGATCAAATCACTAATATATTCATACACACATACCCACAGAAGCAACGTGATCTTCCCTAATTGGTACATATTATTTTTACCCCTGAGAATTACATTAACACTACAACCTCACATGGGCATTTATTTAGATTTTCACTAGCACAAGAATATTAAATATGGTTTTAAAACTGTGTGTCTCAAGCATATTCCCCTGCAATAAGAACATTTATAAAGGCAGTCAAAAGGAGCTAAAACAAGGTCTGTAACTTTTTAGTGATATAGGCTTCAGCGATTACCAGTTCAACAAGTTCACGTATTAAGCCTTTAGCGCATTTAATTTTTTTTTTAACCAAAACCTCAATGCTAGTCAATGCAACTTTTTTTCTTGAGCAAGTTGGAACGTTTGGCAAAACACTTCTGCTTCATTTTCTCTTAAAAGCAATGCCTATTGCTTGGTTTTGCTTTCAGTTTGTTTTATTAAAGATCACAAACTCTCAAAAGCCAGAAGTATTACTTTTTAACAGGTTTTTACTTAAGATCTTTTCCTATAATTAAATTGACAAGTGTGAAAGTTGTTTTTTTCCTAGGGCACCTACATACTATTTATATTTGTGGATAATAAGATTTTATGGCTATAAGTCTTACAAGCTACGTAGCTGCAAAGAACATCATTACACTATACCTATTTATGTATTTCCTCAACATTTACTGCTGCGATAAATTCTAAATGTAAACCATACAGGTAATTCAGATCATGTTTACTTGACATTGCTAAAGCGCTTTTCAGAATTATTACTTTGGACCCAATTACAAGAATTGTCAAGTTTCTGTTGAAAATAAATAAATGGAAGTCTTTAAACTTTCCTAATAGAAAACAAATTTGTGTTTTTTCTTAATAGAAGCAGCACAGGAAGATACGTCAAATAAACCACAGCTCAGAAATGTTATGGTAGATATTACAGACAAAAAAGTTATTTTTAATTTAAAAAAAACATTTATTCTGGGGTATGGGGGGTATGTGTGAAGAAGAAAAGTAATTTTCACTCCAGTTCAGGCAGTCTTTGAAGACCAACGTCCAGTTCCGCATTCATTTAATTCAATTCTTAGACCTTTAGAAATCCTGGAAATTTAGGTTATCATACACTCCATTCTGTTCTTCGAACTGAGATGGGATTACCTATTCCTAAAACTATTAATTCAGTTGGTAATTTGGTACCATTTACTTCATTAACAAATATATTTTGTCTATTTTCTATGGAATGCAAAACAGAATAACCTTCTGAATGCACGTGAGACAAAAAAAGGGTTTTGAAATAGGGATGATACTACTAAACATTATTTAGTATCACCGGTAATGGCAAAATAAATCGAGTAAAAAGAATGAAACATGTACTTACTCTTTTGTTAAGACAGACTACAGGCCACAGGCTACAGCCCAGCGTGCAGCAGCAGCACAGACAGCCACAGAGCAGCCATTTTACGTTCACGGGGAGATTCTTTCTTAAACAGGCGTTCACACGACTGATGCTGGTCTTGAATTCTTCGGGGGCAACCTGCAATAGAAGTGCTGAACTTCAGTGGAAAGCTATTACAGGTGTATTTTCTCAATAACTGCCTCTACAGGTTAAAATGTAAATGAAAAATAATACCGTTACACCCCATTTTCTAAAGCACTGGTCGCCCAGTGAGCATGAAAAGTCATTTTTCTGTAACAAATTCACAAAACTAGAAGCGGGATACAGCTGTGCAACCTACGCACTGGCTACACTGACCGAAAAAAAAAAAAAGGAAGAATGAGAGATAACTGGTTTCCAAGGTAATGCGGGGCAGCTTGGCAGTCAAAACACTTGCGTGTCACACAGGGGAAAAAAAGGATAATATTGTTGAAATTAATTTCATAGCAATGTAAGTCTACACTGTGCCTGGGTGAAGGTGGACCTCTGCCCACAGATGAATTCCTGAAGTGGGCCATAGCGACACAAGGCCACAACGGCACTCGTGGCTGCTTCCTACAGCAGGGAAGCCTGGAGAGACATACACTGGATTATAATCCAGGCAAAGAAATGCATCTCGTACGGGGTTACAAATAAAGCCTAGCTGTTCAAAAAGAACTTATTTAAATTAAGGAATATTCAGCAGAGCTTACTCAAAATACTGTTTTCTATATATTGCCACTGCAGAGTCACAGTGGAAAACCACATTGTCAATCAGAATTAAGCTCCTTTCTCCGATAGCAGCAGGTTTCTTACAGAAGCGTGAGAGCACTTACCTATTTACATGCCCCCAAATCCCTCATGTCTCTACAGAATCTAAATAATTTCTATCTGACAAGTCAAATATGGATTCGTGGTATTGACTCCAAGATGGCACTCTTAACTGTAACACAATCCAGCACTTGAATGCACAAAGCAGAATAATCAGATCCAACTTCGAAAGACTTGAGCAGTCAGGTACAACTCCTCAAAAAAAAAAAAAAAAGAAAGCCTTTCCTAACTGCTTGCTGTGTTGAAGAACCCCCCCCCGAATCAGTGTGTATACAGAGCTGTGCAACTACTACCTAATCCTTCCGACCCAGCAAGCCCAACACTCTTCATTTGGTTCTGCAAACAAGGGCAACAACAACAACAAAAGCATTAATTTAGTGACAAAGACTCCTTTCACCAAAGGAGCAAAACTACGGGACAGGAAACGGAGAGGACCCGATTCTGCTACCTCCGCCTATTCACAAGAGCTAAATTCATTAAAACATTGCAGGAAAGGGAGTAAATAAATACAACATCTGTTTCCTGGCCATTCAGATCACCAGGCAGTACAGAGTCAGAGGTCATCCGGGCTTGTACACGAGCCAGGCCGACAGTTAGCAATGTAAGAGCATAATTTAACATTATGTTTATTTTATAGCTGCAATTAATAACTACACAGAAAGTATTTCTTTTGCCATTATACAGGCTCCCCACTATATTAAATAGACTGTCTTATAATTCTTTATACATATACCAATGGAGCAAGTAAAAAAATTTTCTTTTGACTGACTGGAACATCTACATTTAAATATATTTTACAACAGACACCGTAGTTTAAAAAAAAAAAAAAAAAGAAAACAACAAAAAGAAACGGAGATCCCATGTATTGCACATTTGCAATGAAAAAAAAACTCACATTGTAATGTGGCAAACCAGCCTGTACTTGCATGTGTCTGAAACAGAAGGTTTTACAGATCTCTGTGCCAATGCCAGCTCTTGGATTTAGGCTGTAACAGCTACCAGATGCACGAGAGGAAACCCCGTTTCATCTTCAACGTGGGACAATGTTTTGTAGTAAAGTACACCTGGGTTGTTGTGTGCCCTACGAGTAACATTGTACCGCTTCTGCAGTCGGACATGATTCAAAGTAAATCGGGATTACATACATTAACAAATCAGCAATCTCAACTCTTGAGGAAGTTCACACGTTCCTAACATTTCGATATATCCAAATGGCCCTTTCTTTGACAAGTCTTTTGAAATTTGTACACGTATCATTCTAGCTGTTTATTTGAAAGACAAAAATAAGTGGGTTTTTTTTCTTGACCCCATTAGTACTTTTGCAATGAATCCCACAAAGAAAAGAGACTGTTTCCTTTTCTATTAGACACCAAGTTTACTGGACCTTGACAACATCACCCCCCAACCCCAAAATACAGCTGTACAAACCTGCCAAAGACAACGGAATCACAGGGTCTAGAATTTAGTTTAACATGAAGAAACTTCATCATCAGTGCTAACATCCAACATGAAAAGAAGTCAACCAGATTCCTAGATCACAGCTGGCAGAAAAATTTGGAAGCGGATAAGAAAGCACTGGGATGGCGACATTCCCTATTTCCGTGCTACTTTTAAGGGAGTCCCTGTTCACATCAGGTTAACAGTTTGATGCTGTTTTATAAGAACAATTTTGAATTACTGCCTTCCTGTAGAGCACAGCACTGCAAACGGCTAAACTAGACACCAACTTCGGATGCCGCCAAGAAACAGAGAACATTTCTACTTCAGAAATTTTGGTATGATGTTTACTGCAATATAGTTTTAAGAACGAACCACTACTACCTGCTAATGCACCAAATACTTCCGTGTAAAGCTGAATCTCTTAGCTGCAGCATAAGATGAAATTACTTAAGATGGTTTTGGCTAACCCAAACTACTGGATATATTTCTCCCTTTAGGAGATGTAATTACAATAAATATTACTGCCAGTCAATGACATCATCATTGAAACTAAAGGAAACGGTGACGAAGATAAGCCTCATTCTGTGATAAATAGATGCAAACCACAGTTTTGTTGCTCTCAGTTTACAGCTCAGTAACAGTTAAGCATTGTTAGACAGCGACAAAGAATGAAATATCTGTAAATAAAATAACCGTCCTAATTTGATAATAAAATGGTATCCAAATGAAACAGTCAAAGAATTTTGTTGATTTTCTGGCATAATTTTAAATCTCGCCTTTCTTGCAGGTATGGATATTGAAAAGTTAATATGAAATGACTGATGTATTTCCAACAGAGAATTAACAGTGCCTCCTGCACAAAGAAAGCTCCCTAAGAAAGTCTAGTTCTGAGTAATTTTGGAAAGTTGCTCGGAGAGTTTCTGTCTGGATCTTGAAAAGAACGAGATAAGTACATAGCTCCTGGCTGTGCAGTACACCTTGTAAAGAGACATTAGTTCCTTTTAGGTCTTTAAGTGAGGGGGAAAAAAAAAAACATAAAAGGAAAGGAGGGGGTGTCATAATATTTTACAACAGGATGCAAGAGAATCTACAAACACAGGAAGAGAGCAAGGAGAGCCCAGCAGGCCTGATCTTTCGCCTTCAATCATCATGATCACAAACCCTATCAATCACACGTTGCAATGGAATCACAATACCAAGAGCACATTTTATGGCTTACATTTCCCTGCACCGCACAGTAATCTCTGTGCAGGACCCTTATTGTTTTCAGATCAGGGCAGGAAACTCCACTTTCTTCCTTAAGGTTCACTGCCTCCATCATTTTCTTGTCACCTGGAGCAGCGTGTGCGATTGTGTCATATATCATGAAGAGTATTTTGTTAAAAGCTTTTAAATGCTTGTTTTAAAAGAATTAATAATCCTATAAAACTGTAGCACACAGAATTCAAATTTAGCCAGAATTTAAATTTAGGCCAAAGTCCAATCTTTAAAAGTTAAATATCGCCTCTGTATTAAATGCAATGAAATCTTTTCTTACGATATTCCGTTGAAAAGAATGTGGTTTGAAAACCCAGCTCAGTATCTATAAACTCATCCTGTAAGATAAATATTAAGTCAGTGTAGCTGAATTAGCCAGGCCCAACATCTGACCTAATTTTCCTTCCCTTTATTGTTTTCTTGTCTGTTTTATCCTCAAATACACACGTTCACCTCTCCCCCCCAAAAAAGCAACAAAGATGTCGCAATTAAATATTTAAGATGTAATTACATGCATCTTAGCTCTAGGCTAATTTGCAGTAACTATGCAGACTCTGTAAAAACTGGGAGACGAGGGGGTAGAGGGAGGTGGGTGAAGGAGGGGTATTTCAGATTTTTAAAAAAGAAAATTAGTGGAATCATCATTATGTAGATGGGCAAAATGAGGTACAGAAACCTTCAGTAAATTCCTAAGACTACACAGTGGCATAAAGCCAACAAGTTAGTGCTTCTGGGAGAAAGGTGCAGGTAGAGAGTTTTACCTATTTAGGACTTTTATAATGCATTGGGTAGATTTTCATCCTGTGTATAAAACCCTACATCTTCCTCTGTATTTATTAAAAAGAAAAAAAAATGCCATAAAGAAATCCATCAACCCCACCTAATGGTTTCATCTTTTACACTCCATTAGCAGATGGGATATGTTATTAATATCAGTTCACAGTGGACAACAAAGCCATTAAACTTAATGTAACACAGACATTCTGAATAAAGTATGGCATTGCCTTATACTAGCTGTGTACTAATGCAAGTTCATAGCAAACATTTTAATCACTAACTGTTAATATAAACAGTCACTATGCTATTCATAAAGTGTGATTTCATAAAAAGTAAAAATTTGTATTTTAAGAACAGTAGAAGATCTTAAAGTGGTGACTACAGTGCTTATTATTGTGAATATTATTGTGAATTATTTATCAGGGTATTTGAAGAAAACCTTCTTACTGGAAAAAATGAGTTTTCATTTTCAATAAGGATAAACGTGACTGACTGCCACAACAGGAAGAAGCAGTTTATTTATTTCTTGCAATTCATGAAAGTATTAAAAACCAAAAACCCACAACTGGTTTTTAATGTCTTCCATGCCAGAGTGCGGCAGACAGTAAGAAAAATGTGTTTACTATCTCATTTGATTGGTGTTTTCCCCTCACAAAAGGAAAACTAATTTATTTTCAAGGTCTTCTTACTCAAAAAGCCCCTCACATCCACATATGAGAAAGAGATAACAGGATATCAAGATTGTCAGCAGAAGCAGCATACCTATATACAGCAAATCTCCACTGTGATTTATGTTGTCACCAATTAGATCTATGGAACAAAAAGGGCAAATGCCAAGTAGAAGAACTTCCTCTTTACTCTCTTGGCTAAATTGAGTCCAAGCAGTCAACTGAAAGTTAAATTAAACTTTTGTTCACTGTCTATTTAACAAGGAGAGGACAATCAAGTGGCAAACATGTCAGGCATTGATGCTTGTATTAAGAAGTATAGATGTGGGAGGTTGGGTTTGTTTTGGTTTTCTAACACATATTTTAGAGACACAGAAAGAGATGAAATTATATAACCAAATTAATTTTTAACATTTCCTGCTAGGTATTTTCTATAAGCTTATTTATAACAAACTACAACTTGACTTAAAGAATGTAAGAATTGTTATTTCCAAAAAGCGTTCTGGGGCTTTTCAGTGATTGGAAACAGCTTCGCAGAAAATAAACTTTAGACATGTGAAGCAGCGCAATGCAAATGGTGTTATCACCAGCCCTCACATCAGACACTACGGAATCAGTAAGACTTTTCCTTTGGAGCTCACCGAGATTCTGAGGCAAGACCAGAGCTCCCAGGCTGTCTTTTAAACAATCAAAAAATCCAAATAGCAACCTGCTTTTCATTCGTACAAAAAAGCTGAACAAATTCAGCACAAGTATTTTATTCATTATACTCTGGGGTGAAAATGAAGGAGAAAAACCCCAGATGGATTTGGCAGAACCAGGAGACACCACCCAGCTGCATTTCGGTATACTGTTAATATGACTCAACAGCTACTGCCAGAGGCTGCAGAGGTAGTGTAGCTGTATGGTATGACACTAGAGAAAGTAGTAAGAGCCAACAAATTCTGGAAAAGATGCATAAGGGGGATATAAAACGAAGCAGAAGAAAAGCAGCAGAGTGTGAAATAGCAGAAAGAAAAAAAAAATAAAAGAGAAAAATAATTCAAAATTTAAAAGTCTAAAAAAATACAATTATGAAAATAATTTAAAACCATAACCAAGAATTTTGTTACAAGATTTCATTAATTAATAGCTACAAAGGAGTAGTTATGAAATTCGTATTTATTAAGGTGACAAGACTCCAGAGAAAGCAAGAGACTTGTCACCACTAATTTTCAGAACTAAACAATTGCTATATTTCTGAAAATATACTGAAAAACTACCTAATTTGTAGATGTAACACTATAATGTTTTGTTCCCTAAAGCTTCAGATCAAACAGATTCTCTTCCAGAGAAACTCAAGGCTTGACAGACATATTAAAAACAGAGGTCTAGTATTTGAAAGAATTTAATTCACACAGGAGGAAGCACAAACTCCAGATAAAGCAAGGTTAAGTGACTCTTGCTTTATTGTAGATTGCCTGCATGAAACCAGTATGATGCCACGTTGCTGTGTTTAGAACGTCAATAACGATAGCAACCACCACAAATAATTTTTTCTTGTTTCAAGTGCACTGTAGGGACTGGTCATCAACCAGCTCGTCGACACAGGGCAGAGTTAATTCTGCAGCCCGCAGCGCTGGCCTCCACTGCTCTGTGGATTCACGAGCGGGTACTTGTAACACAGAACCCACTGGATGCACTGCATCTTTCCCTTTAAAAGAACAGTTTAATCTCACACTTACCTTCCCTGTCAGAACAGAAGGAAATTCTGTATCAAACTTGTTGCTCAAGCCAAACCTTGAAAACAAAAGAGACAAACAAAATATATTCCACCTAACTTATTTTGTTTCCCTTAATAAAAAAATGTAATAGATTTTGTACTTTAAAAAAAAGCTATTAATTTCTTTTGCCCTTACATTTACATTATTTCATTAGCTTTCAATCTAAGTTTATATAAGGTCCTGTGCATCATTCATATGGTCAGTTACAAGACAGAGAAATCTAGCTTGTTGCCTTACTTCAATACCTTCAAGTCCCTAAAAGCACAGAAATTATTTTATGATTGGATGGCAGGAAGTTTCAATCTTTGCTTTAAGAAAAAAAAAACCCCTCCAGCTATTAAATCCCAGTTTTACTAGGCTCAGTAACCCTTTTACTGCTATTTTTCTTACTCATGCAATTTATTCACATGCAACAGATAAAGCTCGTTACAAGGAACCTCTTCATCATCATCTTAGAAATTTATAAACATATAGTTTTAAAAAATTGCTTTGGGCTAAGTTAGACTATCTCATGCAAAACACGTAAGAGCTGACACACAGAACAGTTTTAAAACAACTATGAACTTCAACAAAATTAAGTCTTGGGTATCGCTGTGACTATTCTTCATTGAAGTGTTCTTGTTTTTGAGCAAGAGGCAAGTCTTCGTTCTAACCAGTGAAACCTGCAGAGAGCTAGACTTTGCTTCTAAACCTGTGTTACCACCAGCTCCAAAACTACTGAACCAACTGAAACTTCCAAAAAGCGGGTGCTGTAGATCAGCAGGATACTGACAGTGCAGGCTGACTTGACTTTTTGATGTTATTTAAAGCATGTAAGTAGGCAAGAAGTTAACTAAGCTCTGATGCTAAACCTGCTGGCTTCTGCAGAACGAGAACTCTGATCTTCCATCTTCTCTACCTTAACTGAAATCTTTAACCTTTGCAATTCAGTAATTTAACCAAATACAACAGCAGTCAACCTCTCAGCTACAGCCTTTACATTTGAACTGAGCTTAATGTTAAGTTTCTAAAGTTAAATATACTGTACAGCAAGTTCACTGTCAGCTCTGCTAAACCATCTCCTGAGTATTTTTGTTCAAAAAAAAAAAAAGAAAAAAAAAAAAAACCCAAAGGATCAGAGGCAGAAAGAGGAGCACAAACACATTTGGTATTGTAATATTTGTTGTAGAAACAAACCCTTTGGAGAGAGAGTATTTGCTTTCAGTCACATTGACACCTGAAGTACTCCTTAGTGGTCACCTGGACAAATACTGGTACTGCTGAAATGTCAGCAGTCTCCTATCACTATATAATACATACAGCATAATAATTCAGATATCCAAACTTGGCAATGTAACTTGTTTAGAAATACACAAAAATGTAAAATAAACCTTAAAGAAGAGAGAAGCATAATAAAAGAACTTGTGCTGTCTTTAGAAACCCAGCAAGCTAACTAAAATGTTTGTCAACAATACTGGTGAAGTGCAGTCAAGTTCTTTAATGGCTAATTGAAGTCAGAGCCTTGACTCTTGTAAAGAGCAGCGTACTGGAGCAGTAGTTGTGTAAAACATTAAAAAAAACTCCCAAAGACTAGATCTTAATTGAAGTGTTTCTCAATCTTTGCCTCTTAAGCTATCCTAAGGACTACAACCAATTGCCACCTATTTGTGTTTGTTCTATTCAACATATTTTCCCTGAAAAGTTCCTAGAAGTGAACGTGAGTGAACTGAACATCAGTGAACTGAACATCAGCACGGCATGGGCTACCGCACAGTCAAGTGAACTGGAAAGCCATGACGGTAATATAGTGCTACAAAAACAAACAGTAAAAGCAGTAAGATTCTAGGCAAATGCAAAGGTTACCAACATAAGCACATTTCCCTTCTCTGTGAATGTAATCTGGCAATTGAGCCTCCACATTTTGTAGCTTTTCTTTTTAAGCCGAAATCTTCCAAGTTCTGTTATACAATATATTTATTTTTAAGGAAGCTTGAAGAGCAATGAGGTGGCCTTTTCAGTCTTTAAAAAAATCCAGAAAAGACTAACAATAAGAAGCACATACACAAGCTTGTTCTGAGGAATACGAACTTTTCTGTGTATCAGCAATGAAACTATCCAAATTGATCCCAAAGTTGTAGCAAAAAGACGGTATAAGAAGTGAACTATGGAACAGTTCAGGTAATATTGCAGAATTATTTACTCTACCCATACAACAGACTAATTCTACTAAATCACGCCGAACGTCCACCTAGCCCAGAACACTGACTTTTACAGTGGCCACTACAGATGCCTAGGAAACAGCAAAAGGAAAAAAATAAAATGCAAACGTGTACTAGCATTTCCCCAGAATACCCTTCTGACCCCCAACAACTTGTAGTTCAAAAAGTTCCTAAGCCATAGGTAGTTTCTTTTATCTCACTGGTCACATACACTCATTAAAATTTCTACTGCACCACCAATCTGCATAAAGAATTACATAAATTAGTGCTTTCTGATTTAGATCTATTAAGAATACAAGACTATAATATATATTATTACTTCAAATTTGAAGCCTGATAACACCATGAAACATATTTAAAACCTAAAACTTATCAGCTGCCAGAACATTCCATTCAGTTATTGCACATCCAGGAAACCTCAGTTACAGAAATCTTTTAGAGAAACACCTGAAAATGGCTAAAAGAATACAAAAGGTTTTGACTATCCTGAAAACAGGACTGTGCTACATTATAACACCAGATTTAGTCAGCATCACTGATGGCCTTTAGCACAGTTTTACCAAAGTGTCTCTAGAAGTTTTACAGAGTATGCTCGTGATTATTTAACCCATCGTTCAGAAACATTGAACTCCTGTTAGACCGGGCTGGGTGGGAGTTCAAGAACCAAATAAAAAAACATCTTTTTTTTTTTTTAGAAATGTTAAAGCAGGATGTTATATAGTTCTACAGCTTTGCAAGCAACTTCGTAAAAATCACAGCAGTGTTATAAGAATATTTAATGTAAAAAGGTCAAGACCTAAAGTCTTGATTACGAGATAAATAACTTCATTAGACCTTCTACAACAGACTAATGATCTAGCATGATTTGGCTGATGAAGTCTTCTAAAATTCAGTATATTAAAAATCACTGTGTAAAATAAATTGCACTACCTGTCCTTTAAATCATTTAAAACATCAGTTGGTGGTGACTGGGCTAGTTCTCAGACTCCTCACTGAAAGCTGCTCGAAGTCTAACATTTAGAAATTCAGATAAGTCACCCGTATACTTTGGTTGCAATTTTCTCGCTGGATGACAAGTATCTCTAAAAGCAAAGCATGCTTTACTGTAAGCAACAACACTGGAACAGAACTAGGATGAACTCACTTCTAGTTCTTCTGTCTCTCTTCCCCTGCCTTAATGTATGGCATCAGAAAGTCCCATCATCTCATTTTCCCCCATTTGTAAAGTGGGGAGAAGATATCTTCTCATAGGGAGCTGTAATAAGATATATTCATAAATCCCTCAAATTAAAGACTGAAACGAACACCCTGAATCATCAGTTGCAGACCCCACCTGCAACAGGTATCACGTTAGAAAATTCTTTCTTTTAGTTCACAAAGCATAAGGAAGTGAGATTTCCTGCCCCCAGAACTGAACGGGAAGATGTAGAACACTTCCTCATATCTAGAACAGACATATCTACAGGTGCTTTACCTTTTTTTTTCTTTTGACTTAAATAGCACTTCATTCTCCTTTATCCCACTACTGTATTTATAGATAGTAATCAGTCTTACAAGACTACACAAGCTAAACCCATTTAGTCAACGCTTGTACAACAGGCTCTCCAACCTCCTCTCAGCACAGCTCCTTTCCCCACACCTAACCCAGGCTATGTTTAACCTACCTTGAACAGATGAACACAGACCCTACATACTATTCTTTATGAGGTATTACCTAAGCTTTGTCCAGCATTAAAGAATAAATAAGACATTCATCAAGAGCCCTGAGCTGAAATCTCCTCGAACACCTAACACTTCCTAGTCTAGGACGTTTTCCTATGAAGCCAATAGAACTACTGAAGAGGATCCTTACTCCTGGATCATGTTTTGGAAGACTAAGCTTTTGGTAACTCGTGGAAGGCTACGGTCATTTGCTATTTTAAATATGTGGAATCTGCTATTTTAAATATGCGGAAGATGGAGTAGTATCAGACAATAATCAAATGTCATCTTATTACAACTGAGAGCACGTGGCTCTTCCCTCCCTTCCCCAACCGATGACAATGCGCCTTTCATTAGCACCTGGATTGTGGGTCCCTGGGGCACTCCTACAGGAAATATAATGGAATAATGATAGTTAAGTTGTATCCAAAGCTAGGAGGTTTGAAGACTGAAGCAGAAATCACAAGCTGTATACTAAGGGCAAAAATATGCTTAATGGCTATTTCATTACTATCTATCCACATGGACTTAATGATATGGAAAAATTACATCCAATAAATAAAAACTTATAATCAAGTCAGTTTGTTTACTGCTCTGTTTTGAAAGTTCTTGCTGTTGCTTTGGTAGGCATATGACTCAGTCCTCACTAAAAATGTTTATGTTGAGATATGTGGATCCACCAACCAGAGTCACACTGACTATGCAAGAAACAGCGAACAAGGGGTTTATAATTCATTAAAATGGAATTTCAGAAGCAAAGAAAAGGTATGTACTGGATCCTAGTAATGTCTCTGTTCTAAAATTCAAAAGCTTTCTGAAAACAATAGATATGACTGATAGTTCATTCTTTCAAAGAATCTTCTAGAGTGAAAGAGCGTTAATGAGCGTAAATTTTGCTAACCTCTTTCACATACCTTCTCTCTCTGTGAGTAAAATAAAACGAATATACTTTACGTGATCACTCTTACCATGCACAGGGGTAAAAGGGTTAGCAAAACAGCCAGTGGAAAAAGCAAGACCCTGCTAAAAACTCTCAGAAGATTCCTGGAATTTATATTTAGCACTGTTGGATACTGCAGTAGAACTCTGTTAGGGCCAGCAGCTCACTGACAAGGTCATCAGATAAAAACTCTCATGCAAGAAACTAATACATAGTTTGAATCTACTAACTTGGGACTTTTACTGTACATGAAAAGCTGGACCAGAAGATGACCCTGGAAGTAGAGAATTATCCCTTCTCTATACACCAAAAGTATCCAAGAAGGCTAGTGTCAGATGAGGAACAGAAGGCATCTGAAACAAAAATCCAAGGAAAACAATGGCTTCTTAAAAATAACTGGGAGTTTTGTTGTTTTGTTTTTTTTTTTTTTTTTTTTTAATAGAGTGTCTGACTTGTCAGGACTGAAGTTCTTATTAGCAATGTTCCAGACAGGTTCAGAAAACAAACACAAGTTTTACTTGATGACGTATCTCACTTCAGTAACTAGAGCAGGCTGCTTCTGAAGCCAACTGATTTCAAAAGCAGCAGCATCTGTGTGATCAAAAAGTGAAAGAATTTCAGGGCTGATATATACTAACCAGAAATTCTTTAGGAAGCAAAATATTTCCCATTTAATAAGGAGTTTAGCATGACATACTACAGTGTCCAGGGTTTATTCGCATTTTATTGGTAACATCCACTAACTGCTTTTATTAATATAAGGAGATTTAAAAATATGTCATGAACTGATGAAAGCTGCCTTCTACCATTCAGGCAGGTATACTTGTTACAGGAAGAAAGCTGGGAGGAATGGAAGAAAGGGAAAATAAGGTGGATGGAAATTCAGCTCAGGTAGTTACGAGGGCACATACACTAGCTCATGATTTCCGCATCACTTACAAGTATTGCTTTCTTTTGATGAAGACATCCTAGTTGACAGCGTTCTTGGAGATGCTCCTGCCCATCCCCAAAAGATGCTGGAGCCAAGAAGAAACTTTAAGAAACATCACT